TTTATTAACCTGCACTGCCCTTGCTTATCCATTATCTCAGACTGGTGGCACAATTATTGATTTTCTGTTTTGCAATTAAAACCAAAAAATACAGAATTCAGTCCACACTTGTAACTCAATGAACTATGAAACAACGTCCCCATGTCTGACATCCATACACTTTTTGTTGCCTTCCCTATTGCTCCTATACCGACCACCTTTGGCTAATCTGTAACTGAAATGTCGCCGCCTCTGTCTACATGTCACCTTGCCCCCTCTCAGATGAAGAGTACCGCTCCTGGCTACCCCTTTATTGTTTGAGTCCGACCAAACCAAATCCGAGGCAGAGTCTCACAACGGCCTCACAGTATGAAGCGCTGTACAGAGCATTACACTTAAGTGATTTCTAGCACTTTAGACAGCCATCCGAAGGTTTTTCATTTCACCTTGTAAATGGTCGACTATAGGAATCCTGGCGCTGCATGCTTCAAAATAATGCAGCCAAACGTATACATTCCTCTGTGCACATTCAATATGAAACGCAAACCATTTCCTAGGCGCCAATCTAATGGTCACATTAAAGCAATTAAATACACGTTAACAGATCTTTCCTTACATGTTCCATCACGTGAAGAGAGAGATCATTCATTGTGACATATGGAGCAAAAATGCAGTTACAAATCACCCTTGCATAGAAGATCACTTTCCAGCACTCATCCTTTTAGTATTCCTCCCATGCCTCCTGCTGTGCATAAATACTTAGTTGGCCGTCATATTTAAATTAATAAAAAGGAAAAATCTAAATAAAAGATGGTTGGCATGAAGGTCTGATGATTATCCTTAGTATATGGAATTTACCAAATGCACACGAAAAAAAACCATGAAACATTGTTGTATTGGATTGGCAACTTCAAAACAAATCTCAAAACCTCCAAAAAGAAACCAGAAATACTTCATAACCAGGAGGCACTAGACTAAAAACCTTCAGGTCAAATATAGTTATTTTGCGAGACGAATGAGCTAATTTAAATTAAAAAAAGTCCTCATGATTATCTTTAAAAGATCTTTACCCCAAATGCAGGCCAGACAAAGTCAATCGAAAGCAGCCATGAACAATGATATTGGAGAAACAGATGGTTGTAAACCTGACTGACTTGAGGGGGCTTGACAGGATATTAGTTAAGTATGTGACAACGAAACAGATGTATTGAAGTCCTATCTGAGCTGTGAGAATAAATGGTCTTATAGTCTGATATACCATATATTGCATAATATTATTAAATATTAAAAAACAACATGCTTAGCGCCACGCCCCACCCGAGCCACAGGGTGGTCGTAAAGACATTGCTCATGTTTATAACACAACACTAAAGCTTGTATCAGCGAGGGTAAAGAGCAAAGCACATGCAACGGGTTCATATGTTCTGCTTCCATCTGTATTACAATGTTAAAAACAACCACTCCCAAGTGTACATATTGATTGTTATGTACCTGCCTGAGGACTGCAGATGGAAATGAGCTATTAGCTATAATCTGGTATAATTCATATCTTCTCTTTTCTGAGATTAATGTATTTGTATGCATGGTCCACTTTGAAATAAATACATAATATATTATAGTACAAGTAGCACAGGCCAGATGTGTGCATTGGTCCTTCAACCATATTGTTTGTATCTTTAGAGTTAACAATATGAAATGGAAACCTATGGCAAATAGAATAATAACCATTTCTCTCTCAACGGATTCACATCAACAGGGTCAACGTGGGAACAGAGAACAGGTTCTGTGAGGTTTTTCTGTGGCGAAATAAAGTACAGGTGAAATCATTAAGAGCCTGCCTGAGCTCCTGAGGGGGTCTTTAAATGCTCGCGCGCCTCGTTTTCCGGGGGCTGTGTGAACCATGGTCCTCTGGAGCTCACAATGAGGTCTTTAAAATACAGCTGCGGCAGCTATACCAAAAAGCAAATTGAACACTTTTCCATAAGCCGCTTTAAACTGTGACAAAAAAAACATCACATGAATGCTTTCACACAGGGAGAATGTCAGTGGCTTTTTTTGTATCTCATCTCTTTTGAACAAACCACATTGGATCAAAACCTATTCAATCAAACAAGTAGCCATACTGAGATATCTGTGATGACTTGTTGCATTTTTGAAATCTGAACTCAATTGTCATTCTTATGAATGTACGTAATCTTCATACTATTTCAATAAAGCCATTTAAAATCATTTTCAATTAATTACATGATAACCATTAGGGGTGCACCGAATGGGAAATTATTGGCCGAAACCGATACCGAAAATAGGAAACAGTTGGCCGAAAACCGAATGCCGAAAGGCCGAAAATGATTAATAGAAATATATATATATAATGTATACATTTTTTACCAATGTTGTTCAGCTACCTGATTATGGAAATAGACATGATTATGGCAAAACTTAACTTAAATAATAATCACTATTATGGGTCCATAAAACATTTATTCAGCACTTTTGAATGCATACAGTACATTTATATATGTCATGTATTATTGCTAAAAAACATGATATCGCAGTCTTAGTGTCGCCAACTCGTTTCTAATATGCAAAGACAACAAATGCGTCTATGATGTATTTTCGATCAGACGAGATCTCTCTCCCCCGTCTGTGTGCGAGGGGGCGGGGCAGTTTACACACACGCAGCTGCTACATGCAGCGGAGCACACTGCGGAGATGGCGGAGAGAACGCGCTCCGAGGTGTGGTTAAACTTTACCCGTCTCGATGTGGAGAATACTTGTTACCATAAGTGCAATAAGAGTTTAGCATGTAAGCACGAGCAATTTGTCTAAACATTTAGCAAAAGTGCACCGCATGCAGACGGAGGAATGCACCGGGTTCGACCGTCTTTCTAGCAGCTCTGTAGCCCCATCCACGAGTAACGTTTCCACGTCAGGTGTTATGTATGCTAGCAGCAACACACGGAGTTAACTACATTATACAAACATGGGTTAATGATTAGAGGAAACTGAGTTATTTAGTTTGTTAAAGTTTCAGCTATTCTGTTTACAGTTCTGTCATCAGATTATTTAATACGATTTGTTAAAGGCTCAGGGCAATCTCGATGACAAAGGTCAATGTTCCCCCCCCCTGTGAGCCAGCCGCGAGCATGGTCGCCGCGTCTTTATTACGTCATCACAACAACACGTTAGGTTACCAACGTAAGCCTGTTCTGACATTCGGTGATATTTTTTCGGTGCAAAAACCCTTTCGGCCGAAAGGGCCTTTTTAACCATTTTCGGCCGATAATTTTTGGTGGCCAAATATTCGGTGCATCCCTAATAACCATCTCATGTATTCCAAAGATGTGAGCTATGGCTTTAGACTGCAATAAAAAAACGAATCAGATCATAAAGGGACTAAGAAATAAACCAAATTAAAATGCTGGTATCCGTTGCTGAACCCTGAGGAACACTTCTATCCCAAAACCAATTGGTATAACATGTGAACAAGTATGTATGCTGAAAGAAAGAACAATGAGAGCTCACTAAATGTGCAGGACACTGTCTTGGATGTACTAATAAAGGAGAGGGATCATGTACAATTCTTCAGGATCAAATGACTGAACCCCAAAGAAAACAAGAAACACCATCTAGTCACTTTAAGCTCTAAGCGCTCCTCTATTCCTACCTTTATGTTTCCGCCTATGACTCCCAGCACAACTTGAGCCCAATACTGTCGGCTCCTTCCGAGTCGCTGGGCTAAAATAATTACAATATTTCAGGCAGGCAGAATCACTGAAGCTCTAGAAAGGCTTTCAGGATGGAAAATGAGCAGCTCCACGGGGGATGAGGAGGCAACACTTGGAAGCCAGTGTGAAGCTGTTTGAGAAAATGCTTTTAACACCTTGCCCAGCACTCAGCTCAACTAATGGCCGCTAACTCAAGAATGGAGGAGACCTTTCAAATAAAATGACCCTACCGTTTGATATTTTGAGCCATTATTTCAGACACAAGTCATTCATCACAAAATAAAACACATGTAAGTGCAGTATGATTCATTTATGTATTGTGTTATGTGTGCCAATAAAAAGGAATCATATTTCATTACATCAATCAAAAAAAGGAAGTTTTTGGTGTTGAATTTGACATAACAATTCAATTGAACCTAAATACGACATAATACATACGAGTATCCAAGGAAATGTAAAAGGTATGTACATTTGACATTACCAAATTGCCTTCAGTGCTTATTTACTGCCTGCAGTTAGCAATTAAACAGCTTTTGAAATTAAACTAAGATTGAATGCACTTTAAAGTTACTAGAGTCAGTTGGGAATATCATTAGTAGCAGTGCATCTTGTCCATCACAGTTGATTCTAAAGTGCGCAACCACTTTGCTGCATAACCAAATATGAATTTGATTATGGTGGGGGGGGGGGGGGGGGGTGAGCCCAAAAGCGAGGGCTGGCTCCCGGACAAAGAGGCTGGACAAACCAAGCGACAAATGTAAAAATCTGCAGCCAAAATCTACCAGCATTTGGCTCATGGCATTGGTGGGCAGTCAGTTTGAGCATTTACGAAAGCTTTTCAAACAGTCTGTGTGTTCTTGCTCATCAAGTTCAGCCATATCTGCCTGTGCGATGAGAATACTGTGGCTAAGGTAATACAAATGTTCTGTAGTACAAGAACCTAAACCATTGCTCCCAATAATAACACAGCGGGTAAAGCATTCAGCACCCAGAGCTGCACAAAAGGGAAGTAAAGAAGAGGGAACACATGTGCTGACGTGTAAGTAACTGTTCAGTGTGTCAGTCAACAAGCTCTGTAACACCCATGGCTATTGGGTATCACAACAGAAAGCAGAAGAAGTGAAGAATGTCAGAGCACCTGTTTTGAGTGTGATATTACTCGTGTTGAAAACAAATGAAAAGGAAACTATTCAAATGCTTCCTCTCCTAATCATTCATAAGGAGAAAAGAAAATAGGATACAACATTCACTTTGGAATACTAGATATACAAAACATTGTAAATTAGTCCATACCTGTGTCTGTGCTCATCATGTGCCCCTTGTCCATGAATGACCACCTGTCCAGAGGCGTGCTTTCCCTCTTTGGGCGAGTCAATATGAGGGATGAGCACATCCTCCAAACCCAAGTCGAAGCGCTTGTGCTTGGAGTTGTCCGGTAAGAAGAAGAAGGCCCCGAAGCACAAGGTGATGAAGGCACTGAGAATGAGGAGGAGGATGAACTTCTCGGAGAGCCTCAGCGTGGCCCTGTGGTGCGGGAAAGAGGAGGCTCCCGGAGACAGAGTGGGTATCCTGCGGCCCGACAGAGGCAGGAGAGCTGGTGTCGTCATGGTTCAACTGTTGACTTGATCTTAGCTTGGGCAGGGGTTAGGGGGGCAGGGTGGGTTTACAAGTGCCACAGGTGTTGTTGTAGCAGCATGCACGAGCTGGATGACTTTATTATCTCATCCCGGTATTAATAAGTCTAGAAACCAATAAGGGCGAAGGTCCCTCAGTGAAGGAGTGACAGGTCCAAGGGAAAAGGGTCATGACGATCCTGAAAAAAAGAACATTACAGGCACAAAATTAGCATTGCGGAGTTGGTTAGTAAACATTAAGTCATAAAAACCCATATACTGAGTAGTTACCAGAGACACCATCTTAACAACAACACATTCAGAATTCCCTTTTTATGCTTTCCTATAGTTGTTATTTATCCACCTTCACGGCATCATGCCCCTTATAACCACTAGTATCATCTCTCCAGGCTATCTCTGACGTTGTCCTGTTGAGCCTTTCAACGCTAAGTAACAAGCAAACATTTGGTGACAAATCATGAATAGGTTTTTTATTCAGCGATAGCTTAAAGTGTATAAAAACACAATCTACTCACATTATGTTGTGAACTTATTAGCATGTCTTCTGAAACAACACCAGATTATCTCTCACACATTCAGATACACTAAATCCTTTGTCCATGAGAAAAATTACAACCATATTATCCAGGGACTTAAGGTATCAAGAGATGCGATATCTATGAGACCATCACAAACAACTGCCTTCACTTAAACTGCGCATACTGCCATCTCTGCCAGGACACATTGCAGAATGAGTCCCCAGCTTTCTATGTTGCTGTTGTATTGCATTGCAGCGCCATATAGCTTGCTACAGACATAGATCGTGATACAATTACAAAAAATGACAGAGATGAAGAGCAACATCGCAAATCCTCTTGCTATCCGTACACACCGGAGACGACTGGAATCATAATTCCTATGTGTGTGGCAGCGAGAAGGGCAAGACATGCAAGCTAAATACACTGCATGCATGTGCTGTATTATATCTAAACTCAAATTCATCCAGCAAATACCCATGTGGGTGTATTTTCGAAAAGGCGCAGGCTGCCTTTACTCCCCCTGGTCCCCCATGACCGTATATGCAGAAATAGACAGCAACTGCTTTAATTGCTCATATGAAGGATGGATGAATGGAAATAAAGCCCCTTTAAACACCAACATAAGGGGTCGTAGTTATGCCCAAATGATCGAGGCAGATGACGTTAAAATATATGGGAGCCTTTTTTCTCCTTATCCAGGTAGTTTTCCATCGGGTCTGTATAGAGCACCACACAGAATACCAAGTTCATCCTCACAGTGCCAGTCTGTGTGAGGTGATTAGCCGATACTAAAATAAATGCTACATAGCTAACAAGCGGCTAACTCAGTCAGATAACGGTGGCAAGCAGAAAACACGAACAGCGGGGAATAAACTGACAGGCAACACGGAGGAAAAATCATGCATACTAATAAAAGTATTCCGCCATATGTGCTTGGACTCGCTGACATTTTAACTAACCTGTCAAATATGTATGTATAGTATAGCCCGCATATAGCTATTGGTCTATGTTGCTAATGCTAGCTAGCTGGTAATCAACTGACAGTCTCTTGTGTAGCTGCTGCATCACCACCTTTCTCATTTGCTCGGTGAAAAACGGGGATTCCCGGTCCGTCTTTTGGAAGAATAAGTCCCTGTTTGCAGGTGTCCTCAAGTCCACATTCGTCCTCGTCGTGGTAAAGCCTGCTCCCGTTTGAACAGTCGCTTTAGAGCCACATAGCGGTACACAGCTCCGGGGACACCGAGAGGATATTGATGTGTAGCCGCTCTGTGGGACTGCAGCGACGGACTGAGCTGCTGCCCTGAGATCCAGCATCAACTACTCAGCCTGCACAGTTAGGCACCGTCTGACAATGTACTTAGGCAGAGTTTATGTTTATTATGATTTTAAACATGTCAACGTTAAAAAAAAACAAGTCACACATCCCCAACACATTCAGGATTCTGTCAGGATAGCTGATTCCCTTTGTATGCTTTCCTTTAGTTGTTATTTTTACACCTTCACGGCATCATGCCCCTTATAACCACCAGTATCATCTCTCCAGGCAATCTCTGACATTGTCCTGTTGAGCCTTTCAATGTTAAGTTACAGGCAAACATTTGGTTACAAATCATGAATAGGTTTTTTATCAAGCGAAAGGTTAAAGTGTGTAAAACACAATCTACTCACATTATATTGTGAATGTATTAGCATTTCTTCTGAAACACCAGATTATCTCTCACACATTCAGATACACTAAATGATTTGTCCATGAGAAAAATGACAAAAATATTATCCAGGGGCTTAAGGTATCAAGAGATGCTATATGAGACCATCACAAACAACTTCACACACACCCAAAATGTAGTGCTTCCCGTTAAATCAGTGATGTGCATATATTAAATTGAATGTATGGACCTCAGAATAATCATTTAATGTATATTAAAATGATCATCAAATCAGATGTTGTATTTTTAAGGTGTGCATGTTTTGCATCCATTGTAAATAATTAACTCCATCGTGTAGTAGACTATTGATTGATTACATTGTATTAAAACAAGAGGAGCTTGATTGGGCTTTTTTGTTTGCTTCTCAATAACAATCTTAACCTGTTAAGCCCGAGAGACCCCGGTTCCGGGCGCCTCCTGCAATATCTTGCGGAAAACAGTGTCTGAGGGCATGTTCATTTAATAAACTATGAATGTTTTATATCCATGTAACGGGAAGAAACTCATCTAACTGATCAATTTAATTTGTTTTTCCAAAAATAAAACACAATGCTAACGCTGAGCCTCTGAATTAGCAACGAGCGAAACATGCTAACAGATGACTGCACCGAAATTCACTCACAAAACCTTATTATTTATCTTTGCTGCATATCTCAACCCATCGTTTCACATCGTGAGGAGACACAGAATCGATGGGTACCCTCATTATCACTCAATGATACGAACTCTCGGAGATAATAACAAGAACACACATCATAACATATGGAGCTAGTTAGCCAAAAACGGCAAAATGGCTCACCTGTGTGGTAGTCTGGTGAAAAGTGGTCTTCAATAGCATTAAAACGATTTTAAAAAAACGATGCTGAAGTTAATCCATAGTTTAATCCAATGTGTCTGTGTCGCTTTGAATGATTTCTGATAATCCATGAGCAATAAATCAGCTTTTCGGTTTTGAGATGTCAAACCTAGAGACAGCTTCGCTCTGGAGCAAAACTGTTTGCGCGAAGACGCCATTTTTTTTTTTTTAACATGAGTGTGTGCGGGACGATTTCCCTTGGATTCTATTGGCCCTGACGGTAGAGATGTCACATGTCAAAATCCAGCAAGGGGGGCCAGAGATAAGGAAAATCCACCCAAATGGCCCCAGAAGGTTTTTTTGTTGCTAAATCTGTCTAAAAAGGTCAAATATCGCTTGTTTTGCATCAATCTTGATACAGGGTACTTATTATATGTTGTACTTTGGATTCCTAAAGCTTTTAGTCTACTAACCCATCATCCAAGGTTAGTTTTATAAGTACAACATATTTTTTGGACGGACACTATAATTTACAGTTTGTTACCATGTTCAATCTGAATTTTCTTTCAAATAAAAAACATCTATATTGATTCTGACTTTTCTACATCCAACCCTTTTAGAAGGGAAGATATGGTCATTTGTTCTGGGAATGTCATTTTCGAGCCTGAGACCTGAAAAACAGGCTCAGGGCTTAACAGGTTAAGGATTTAACTTTTGTTTGTTGGTGTTTGATGTTGTTCGTGAAACACTTAGCAAGAACAAAACAGGACAGCTAAAAATAGAGGTCTGTTTATAATTGTAAGGCAATCAAGCATATCTCAGCATCACACTTGTAGAGATTTTTTTTATGGAACAACTGATAACAATACATCTTCCTGTTCTGTCCTTACCTTCTGGGAAGGAATACTAACTACTAACTAACTACAACTAAACACAAGATTATGCATCCTGTCTATGAGATGCAATTTGTTTAGCCAGGATGAAATCATATTTTATTAGTTGGTTAAACAGGTAGTGTCCTTGAGCCTTATAATATAAAACTGATTTTTGCGCATGAAAACACAAATTATATAATAAAGTATAAACATAAGAAAAAAAGCACTATTCAAAGCACATTCACACAAAATAGACAAGTCTATTTACTTGTCATGTTGTATGATGTCCTCTGTGGCTGCTACAGGGTTATTGTGATGTTATCAGTATCTCAGCCGAGGGCTCGCATTCTTCAAATTCACAACATAAAACATATTTTATAATAGGTGCTATAAAGATGTTTGTGTCGATTAAGTAGGTTGCTTTTCAATGACATGATCAAATTGCATTGTGGGAAATGTAGGCTCCAGTCTTTTCCGTGCTTAACCACTACAGGGACTTAAAGTCAAATGATCCCTGCTCCTGCAATAATTATTATTTTAGATTTATTGAGTCACCTAATTTGATGGATATGTAATACAAAACCATTTCTGTTAGCCCTTAAGTTAAAATGTAAGGATAAAGATAACAACAAATTCAAGATGTTGGCTCATTTGCCTTCATTTGACATGGGACAGTTTAGAAATGGGGGTTGATGACAGAGGGGTGATGACATGCAGTAAAGGTCCCGAGGCTGGAATCAAACATTGACGTTGCAGATATATTGCATGAGCTGCCAGGCACTCAAGAATCCTACAATTTTAAACCAGAATAAGCATAGATACGTGTAAAAGTCAAAACTGTGTCCTGTGATGTTTTTTGTATGTGTTTTAGAGACAGACGTTGATGTCAATGTTGTGCTTTGGCAGTTACGTGCAGCAGTGCACTTATCTATTCATGACACGGCCTGGATATATACATAAACGGTTGCCGCACAAAATTGAAAAATCTTATCAAATGCACTCTCCTTTATCAAATGCAGCCGGAGCTGTGTTGCCAGGAAGGACACAGTTTATCATATCAGTCTCAGAGTATGCAGAGAACTTTCTTCGGCTTTGGCACTGACAGCGAGTGCTTCGTCTTCTCTATCAGAAGAAAGACACCACTAAATATGAGACACTTTTCTTTCAGGAGTGTTTCTTCAATTCTCAGAGCAGTTTTCCCTTCGCCCTGGCCAAAAACACACTCCCAGGTTAAAGCTTGCTCGGCTTTCTCTGCAAGTGAAGGCTGTAATTTGTTAGAAACCACAGAGATGACACTTCTCCTGCTGCTGAATAGATGGCTTTCCTGTGGGTGATTTAGGTGAGGGCCACAAACCTGGCTGAACCACAAAGTCTGAAGACAAGCCAGTGACAAAGGTGACCAGAATTTCCACTGTGGTGAGCTTTAAAACACTGAAATTCAGCCCTCTGCACCGAGTGAACGATGTGGAACACAAGGCAACCACGTAAACATACAACCCACCATTTCAACATAAGTACGTATTATACAGAGATGAAGGATTGAAAGCATGAACAGCTTTGCAAGTCTTGGGCAAGGTTAAGTGGGTGTGTATGAAAGAAAACAAATACTGTGATACATTCTTAACAGTTTTCACAGTGAGTATTTCTTTGGTAGAAAACAATTGTGAAAAATTAATTATCAAGAGTCGCTGGGACACTGTTGCTATTTCATTTTTCAGTAAAACACCTCAAGGGATGGATTGCCATGCATTTCAACAGACACATTAATGGAGGAATGTATGCATTATTCCTATTGACACTTTTGAAGGCACCCATGTTGTACCCACGATTCATAAAGACCTTGGTGATCCTCTGATATTTCATCTAGCTTCTTCATCTTTTAAATGAGAATGTATTTATTATTCTTTCAATCAAAATGTGTCATCACCTCTCTCATCCAATTTACATGAGTAGTAGCTGGAGTCTGAGCTTCAATTGAAGTAGCTATGCATCAACATGCGAGGGCGCAGCCGCAGACTGATATAATCACTTTTCACTCTGAAATAGTTTTCCCAACAATATGATGTATTAGCTTAAAAGTTTAATTTGTCCAGTACTTTGGTTTATAACATAATACCTACAGGTCTAATGGCATTACTATCAACTAACAAACATCAACCGGCTTACACTGTTAGCTTGTGAACTTAGTAAACAATAAACATTAGCTTCTGAAGTTTGCATGCGGAGGTTAGCATTTAGCTCAAATCATTGCTGTGCCCACGGACCAGCAGCTCCATAACAGGCTGGTGAACTTCTTTTCATATCCAGTTACTTTCATTCTCAGGCTTGCCTCCCACTTTTTGACAACTTAACATTACATTACATGTTAGACGCTTTTATCCAAAGCGACTTACATACTTAATACTGTGGACAATCCCCACAGGAGCAATTTGGGGTAAAGTGTCTCAGGGACACAACGACATGCTGACTGCAGTGGGGTTTGAACCTGTGCTCCCCTGATCCAAACACCAACGCACTAGTCCACTGCGCCACATCCCTCATTGTCTTAAATTAGTTAAGAATCGTAATTGATTTCCCAGTAGGGAACTTACTGCTTAGGTGAAATTGGTTGCACTGCACTCTTTTTAACAAACGCTTCACTTGCATGCATATTAAGGAAGATTAAATCGGTAAATTCATACAAATAAAAAAAAAATCATGATACTTTAATTCTTACCAATGAATCCTTGTGCAATCACATGAGCCAGCATAGCATCACAATGCGACACCTATCCATAACAGCTAAGATAGTTTTGGCTATGTTTTAATAGCTTACTATTGTATGCACCTTGAAAATGTTAAGCTGAACATCTTTTCTATGGTTTACGTACAGGATGTTGTAGGGGCTTCTTGCTCCATTACTCTTTC